TTGTCCACACAATCGGCGGTTATCTCCTCTACTCTTACCTAACATTCAAAACAGTATTCAATTACACCGACGGAGACGTGTTTTTCTCGACCGCAGACTTGGGATGGATTACTGGCCACACGTTCAGCGTTTACGGAGCGCTGGCCAACGGGTGTTCAATAGTGTTGTTTGAAGGCATACCCACTCACCCAAACCCGGGCCATCTCTGGGCTATTATAGACAAATGGAGAGTCAATATCTTCAACACTGCGCCCACTCTTATCCGGTCGCTCATGAAGTTTGGCGACCAATACGTCAAACAACACAACAGAAACACATTGAAAGTGTTGGGAACGGCCGGCGAACCCATCAATCCAGAGGCCTGGCTCTGGTTTTGGGATGTGGTCGGCGATCGTCGGTGTCCTATAGTCGACAACTACTGGCAAACAGAGACTGTATGTCATATTTATTTATATAAATATTTATATTATAGACATTAAATATACACATTATAGAGCGGACCAATGATCTCATCAATACCCGGTGCCACACCTATGAAGCCCGGATCGGCTACCCTTCCCTTCTTTGGTGTTATACCGGCGATACTGGACTCCGAGGGCAGAGAACTGGAGGGCCCGGCTGTGGGACAGTTGGTGTTTAAGAAGCCGTGGCCGGGTATCGCCCGTACCATTGATGGCAAACACGATAGGTATCAAAATGTATACTTTGAGAAGTTTATGGGCTATTACTGTACGGGCGATGGCGTCCAACGGGACGCCGACGGCTACTATTGGATGACCGGTCGTAATGACGACACTCTCAACGTTTCCGGACATCTATTGTCTACCGTAGAGGTGGAGACGGCTATCGTCGAGCACCGGGCGGTGGCAGAAGCGGCCGCAGTGTCGGCCCCGCACGCCATCAAAGGCGAGAGTATTCACGTGTTTGTTGTGTTGAATAATGGCTTTAAATTTACGGCTGAAATGGAGATCGATATCAGACGCAGAGGTATTGATATTGGATTGAAATCTATTTATTAATTAACATGATTTATTGATTGTATGTATAATTAATTAAATACACAATTTTGTGCCCAAATTAAGCTCGTGTTAAAATCGGAGCCCTCGCAGAGCCGGATGTGATCCGCGCTGTGAGTGGACTCCCGAAGACTAAATCGGGTAAAATTATGCGAAGGATATTGACTAAAGTGGTCCGAAATGACCGCGATTTGGGCGACACGTCCACAATGGCTGACCAGTCAGTACTCCAGGAATTGTTCACCACATGTGCCTGCGATTGCTTGTCAGCCATTTAACACTTAATTATATTAATCTTAACCTAATTAAATAAAATATAGTGTTATCTTAGCTTTTAGTGTTATCTAAATTAATGAGACATTTACAAATATTATAATTTATATTTAAATTGATCAATTGTTACATTGTTGTATTTTTGTTATGTAAACTGTAATACAAATCGCTACTATTATTTTGCCCAAGGAAGATTGTTATTAATATTTATTAAAGTAATTTATAAAACCAAACATATATTTATAATAAAATCAATTAAGTTATAAATAATAATAATTTTGTTTGAAAAGGCAATTAAATTTAAACACTAATTGAAAGTATTGGCAAAACCTGTAATAAAAAAGTTATACTTTATGTTGAGTTGTATTGAAAAGCGTGTTATCGATGACTAGTTATCTATAGTTTCAGTCCTTTTCTATATGAATATAATATACAGTTTTGTTATAAATAGTGTTATTATAAAAGGCATTCAATTGTAGGCGTGTTTTGAATGATATTTTCAGCGCAAATATTGTCTAATTTTGTACACAATTTATGCCAAAAACACAATCATTTAAACATCACTTCATTTGATCCCAAGATATGGCGAAAAGAAAACGCGCGAAGAGATCACTGCTTACCACCGATGACGGCAATGGAGATAACAAACAACAGGTTTGTGACAATCAATTGATTGTGTATTGAGTTTTAATTGTGTTTTTGTATCACATTTTTAGCCACAGGTCTACGCGAAGAACTCAATGGACAGATTCGGTGATGATTTGTGTCAAAAGTTGTTGTCTTATCTCTCATTCGAAGATCGGTTTCGAGTGGAATGTGTGTCCAAACAGTTCCGGAGGACTGTCTTCGCGAGTGTTGTCAACATTGTTATCCGTCGACGGATTAACACCGAAACGTTGGCCACAATTGTCATAAAGTGTCCGAATATTGAACGCCTGGACTGTCGAGGACTGAAAGAGTGCCCAATGTTTGGACATTACATTCGGGATGTGTTTCGCATATTTCGAGACAATTGCCGCCATTTGAAGCAAATTGAGTGCGATTTGTGTCAAATCAGCGGCGAATGGATGCGTCCGTTCGCACCACTCGTCACAAGTGTTGAAAGCCAGAGGAATTCAGACAAACGAGCGCTCATTCATTGCCACCGATTGTCTCATTTGTCGGTCCAACAAATGTCAGACGTGTTCAACACATCCGGAAGACTATTGGCTAAGAATTTGATTACATTTGCAGTTTGGGAGTATTACTATTACTTCGATTACCGCCTAATGTCTGCATTCGTGGCACACAATCAGTCGCTAAGAAGTCTGTCATTACATTCCAATAGCAATAACAGTATCAATGGAATCGGGAATCTATTGTCACGATTACCGCAATTGCGACGATTGTTCATCACTTTGGATGACTTTGACCACGAAGTTTGTGACCATCATTGACTACACAGGCATTGAACGACTCGTTGCGAATGATTGGCTTAAATTGCAAACAATTGACACTATTGTCGCTCACATTCGTTAACCCATTGGCCGACGAAACTAATGGCCAGACATTGCATTCGTTGCGATATTTTTCGGGATTAAAACGTTTGCATTTATATGGGTTTCAGGCCAATAGTCAACGCTTTTTGGATCCATTGGAATATTGCCATCGATTGACGCAATTATCGCTCGATTTCTGTCATATAAGTGACAAATTATTGTCCAATTGTGGCAAACATTGGCCACGACTTGAAGACCTGTCCATTCGTTACGGCGATGTGCGCCACAAGACTGTTGTCAAACATTTGGGTCACTTCTCAAGACTACCGGCGCTGCAAACGCTTGTTATCACAGATTTAAATAAATACCCGAAAGACAACGATATGGAGGATCTGTTGTCCAAAAGTCTTAAGCTTAAGACTATTAAAATCAATGCAAACGATGTGTCAAAGTTTTATTGCCGTAAGACTAGTTTCAGTCCTTTTATATGCGAATATAATATACAGTATTGTTTTATAATTTTGTCCACATTTTATACCAAAAATACAATCATTTAAACATCACTTCATTTGATCCCAAGATATGGGGAAACGAAAATGCGTGAAGACATCACTTCTTACTACCGATGCCGGCAATGGAGACAATAAATTGACAATAAAAGGACAAATAGAGGCAATCAATTGACTTTTTTTTATTGAGTTTTAATTGTTTTTGTCTACATTTTAGACACAAGTCTACGCGAAGAACTCAATGGACAGATTCGGTGATGATTTGTGTCAACAGTTATTGTCTTATCTCTCATTCGAGGATCGGTTTCGAATGGAATGTGTGTCTAAACAGTTCCGGAAGACTGTCTTCGCGAGTGTTGTCGACATTGATATCTGTCGATTAATGAGAGGCAAAGAGAGTAATATCATCGAAAAGTTGGCCACAATTGCCATAAAGTGTCCGAATATTGAACGCCTGGACTCTCGAGGAATGAATGAGTGCCCAATGTTTCGACATTACGTTCGGGATGTGTTTCGCATATTTCGAGACAATTGCCGCCATTTGAAGCAAATTGACTGCAATTTATGGCAAAACAGCGGCCAATGGATCCGTCCGTTCGCACCACTCATCACAAGAGTCGAAAGCCAGAGGAATTCAGACAAACGAGCGCTCATTCATTGCCACCGATTGTCTCATTTGTCGGTCAACCGAATGTCAGACGTGTTCAACACATCCGGAAGACTATTGGCTAAGAATTTGATTACATTTGATGTGTGGGAGTATTGTATCTTCGATTACGGCCTAATGTCTGCGTTCGCGGCACACAATCAGTCGCTAAAAAGTCTGTCATTAAAAGCCAATAACATTGAAATTTTCATTGGATTCGGGAATCTATTGTCACGATTACCGCAATTGCGACGATTGGCCATCACTTTGGATGACTTTGACCACGAAGTTTGCGAACAGTTGACTACACAGGCATTGAACGACTCGTTGCGTACGATTGGCTTGAATTGCAAACAATTGAAACAATTGTCGCTCACATTCGTTAACCCATTGACCGACGAAACTAATGGCCAGACTTTGCATTCGTTGCGATATTTTTCGGGATTAAAACGTTTGCATTTATATGGCTTTCAGGCCAATAGTCAACGATATTTGGATCCATTGAAATATTGCCACCGATTGACACATTTATGGCTCAATTACTGTCATTTAAGTGNGACCTGTCCATTCGTTACGGCGATGTGCGCCACAAGACTGTTGTCAAACATTTGGGTCACTTCTCAAGACTACCGGCGCTGCAAACGCTTGTTATCACAGATTTAAATAAATACCCGAAAGACAACGTAATGGAGGATCTGTTGGCCAAAAGTCTTAAGCTTAAGACTATTGAAATCGATGCAAACGATGTGTCAAAGTTTTATTGCCGTAAGAATAGTTTCGTTAGTGTTATTATAAAATGTATTCAATTGTAGGCGTGTTTTGAACGCTATTTTCAGCGCAAATTTTGTACACATTTTATTCTAAAAATACAATAATTTAAACATCACTTCATTTGATCCAAAGATATGGCGAAACGAAAACGCGTGGAATCACTACTTACCACCGATGACGGCAATGGAGACAATAAATTGATAATAAAAGGACAAATACAGGCAAATAAATACAATCAATTGACTGTTTTATTGAGTTTTAATTGTGTTTTTGTATCACATTTTTAGCCACAAGTCTACGCGAAGAACTCAATGGACAGATTCGGTGATGATTTGTGTCAACAGTTGTTGTCTTATCTCTCATTTGAAGATCGGTCTCAAATGGAATGTGTGTCCAAACAGTTCCGAAGGACTGTCTTCGCGAGTGTTGTCGACATTAATATCTATCGACTATTGAGAGGCAAAGAGTGGGGAATCACCAGAAAGTTGGCCGCAATTGCCATAAAGTGTCCGAATATTGAACGCCTGGACTGTCGAGGAATGAATGAGTGCTCAATGTTTCGACATTGCATTCGGGATGTGTTTCGCATATTTCAAGACAATTGCCGCCATTTGAGGCAAATTGACTGCAAATTATGGCAAAACAGCGGCCAATGGATCCGTCCGTTCGCACCACTCGTCACACGCATTGAAGGCGTAGAGGAGAGCGACAAACGAGCGCTCAATCAATGCCACCGATTGTCTCATTTGTCTGTTCACCAAATGTCAGAAGTGTTCAACGGATCCGGAAGACTATTGGCTAAGAATTTGGTGGCATTCAAAGTGAACAGCTATTGGCCCTACGATTACGATCTAATGTCAACATTCGTGGCACACAATCAATCGCTAAGAAGTCTATCATTTTTTATTTATGACAATCGTATGGTTAATGGATTGGGGGATCAATTGTCACGTTTGTCGCAATTACGTCGACTGGACTTCACTTTGATATGTGAATACCCATTGACTTCGCAGACATTGAACGACTGGTTGCGTACGATTGGCCTAAACTGCAAACAATTGAAACAATTGTCGCTCGCAATCGTTGCGCCATTGCGTGACAAAACCAATGGCCAGACATTGGATGCGTTGCGATGTTTTTTGGGATTAAAACGTTTGCGTTTACAATACTTAGAGTCCAGTAATGAGCGACTGTTGGATCCGTTGATACATTGCCACCGATTAACACATTTAGAACTCGTTTACAGCTCATTGCGCGACAAACTTTGGCCCAATTGTCACAAACATTGGCCACGGCTTCAAGACCTGGCCGTTTGGATGGGAGATATTGACGACAAAGATGTTGTCAAGTATTTGAAACGCTTCTCAAGACTACCGGCGCTGCAAACGGTTTTGATCTCAGATGTGGACATCAATAGACACCCCAAAGATAGTGCGGTCGACAATGTGTTGGCCAACGGTCTTAAGCTTAAGACTATTGAAATCGAAATCAATGAGGTGTCAAAGTTTTATTGCCGTAAAAATTGATTAAATGTTTAGTGTTTTAAATAAAATCAAAATTTGAGAACAAAATTGTTTACAACTTTATTTCTTATTAATTAAATTAATTGTAAATTAAATTTAGTGTCTAATCATTTATTATAATCTCGTTGTTTACTATTTTTATATATTAAACAATAAGACTTACAATTTATGATGGGCTCTATATTGAGATTAATAATTGTAAATATTATATACACTAAAACGCGCAGGGGCCACTGTAGGGCCACTTTAGTATAGTGAGGTTATACTTTAGTTATAGCATGACTAATGCTATCAAATATGAATCTGTCTATAAATAGCTATATTTATAACTCATACAGTACTGACTATTTACTATTACATTTCACCATGCGTTTTCCTGATTATATACAATGTTATCAATAATTTATTATCACTTTTATCGCGATTTGGACTTTAATTTACAAGTGTTTTGGACTTATTTTATTATTTAATTTCTACGAACCATTAAATTATCAATTAATTGACATTAAATACTTATAGTTATTTATTAAATTGTTTAAAACCGGACTAACTTTAATTAAAAATTTTAACTAATAAATTTTGATTAAATTTCATCAAGCTTTTTAATTAATAATAAATGTTCATTCCAATCTTAAAAGCATTTGTAAAATTACAAATTGATGTACAGTATTAATATATTATTTGTTTTAAAACTAGGGATTAATTTTAATCATGGGTAATATGGTTATATTTAATACAACTTGTAATATTTCTGTGCGATTAGTGGATATACAGTATAATTAATAAACTTTTTAATAATGCCTACCATTTATTACAATGTAATCTGATTTTATGCCACTTATAAACCACACGTAATATTTAATCAACTAATAATGTAATCAATAAATAATTGCCATATTATTATCAATGATAATGAAATAATTCATTTAATGTATTATTTTTTGTTAAAAATCCGTTATAAACAACAAATAAATCTATGATTTGGGAGACATTTACTTGTGTTTATCTCATGTCATGTTTCGCGTCTAAAACACCGGTCCATCTCTTCCAATGCCCGCAGTATTGCCTGTGCTATCCCGCGCCCGCAGGTATTATTAGAATATTTTATGTCATAGTTCATTATATGTAATAATTACATTTCAAATATCAATTATAAATTTAATTTTAACAAATATATTTTAACTAAATAAATTATATTTAACATAGACTTAATTTTTCTAACAACCAAAATAACATAAAATGTCAATTTATAAATGTTTACATTAATTTGTCTATCATGTTCATACTGTATACTTTTTAAACAACATGTTCTATACTTGAATAGATGTAAATAAAAACGAGCCTGCTTATAGCGTGGTGTGCACTCATGGGGGACCTATTGTGAGCTACGAGGTATCATCAATGGGAAGCTCACCTCTCAATACCGTATTCATCGATCAATTAATTCTCGTTCCGGATAACAAATACTTGTATTTTAACGGACAGTATGTTAAGAACCTAGTGTTAAAAACTTGCGATTTCCAGTATATAGTGTCCGGCAATAGGGAGCAGAAAATAGAGTTTTTTAACGGGATTGTTGCCCCGTATCTCGAAGTACTAACACTACTCGACATTCAATTTAATCCGGTGGGTCTTGAGTTTGACTGGATTGTGTTTGGTAAATTTATCAACTTAAAAGCCTTGCACATAGAAAGAAGTTCCTTGAACACTATCCGGGCCGCTGGGTTTAGGGACTTACCCGCCGGGAATATTGTGTCGTTAACGTTAAAGCAAAATAAATTATATACAATAGAAGAAAACGCTTTGAATGCTATGAAACGGTTAAAAATGTTGACAATTACCGGAAATTCTATACAGGATTTACGGTTTCTAATCGGGAATTCCGGTATTCAATGGTCAGATCTGTGGTATTTAGACGTGAGACACAATCAGTTAAACGTATTTCCCGAGCAATTATTGCAAACACTTCCGGCGCTTAAAGTATTAAAATTGGGTCAAAACAGGATCCGAACAATAGATGCCGTGATTATTGACCGATTACTCAGCAAATGTCAGGAATTTACTTTTGACAAAATTCCCGGTTAGGGACACTAGTTATATATTAATTAATTATTTTAACTAACGATTGTATGTAATGTTTGCAGAGCCGGGAGACGTGAGTACAGTATCGCCCGACGAGTACTTTAAGGCCACACCAGGCATGCGATGGACGCGGGATGTAATGGAAACGCCCCGAGAATTACCATATTTTTTCTACGAGTCGTTAAATCAGATGAAATGCAAGATTAATAACTCTAAAAAAGAGTTTTGCACTAAACTCGATAAAAGTCAATTTGTTTACCCAGAGAGATGAATTTCAACATGTTTATTTAAATTATTGTTTTATATTTCATGTTTTGTAAATTATTTTGTAATTTTTAAAAATCAAATATTATTAAAATATTTTGAATTATTTTTTAAAACCAAGTTTTATATTTTATTAATTACGTTTTATTATTTAATTAAATATATTATAATTATTTTCACTTTACAGTATATAAAGTATATACTGTATGTAAAAAAAGTACATGTATAAAAGTTTGAATTATCAAAGTATTATTACACTAACTTAAAGTTATTCTAAAATATAACTTCATACTCGTTGTATAAACCAATAAACTTAGAAATAAAATTTAATTTATAAATTAAAATTTATTATAATAAAAAATTACAGTTCTTAAGAATTATTAAAATTACTTATCAAAACAACATTCATATGTCTGATCATGATCGTAATACAAACACGATGAGACATAATAGCTAATCCTATCCCAATCTACTGATGGATCAGTTGGATTCGTTACCACCGAGGGCTCAGTTGACGGATCATCACTAGTGCGTGTCTGACTCGTAGGTGTGTGGCTATGAGTTGGGTTATAAGTTGAAGCTACCGGCGTAGTGTGACTAACTGTGCCACTTGTAATATCAGTATATGGGGTCGGTGTATTGGGCAGAGGGGTAGTACTATTGACAATGTCGGGAAAGTCGAAATCATCAGGGTCGATTTTACCGCACAGTATGGTCTCATTTGACCTCATGTTCAAACACTTCATCTTTTGTAACGATTCGTAGAAAAAATACGGACTTTTGGGCAAAGTTTGAAAAAAGTTGGGAATCCATGCCATCGACTTCCGGGCCTCAAAGTAGATGTCTTTGTCCGCCGGTCCGCTCTTGTCTATCGGTCCTGTAATTTACGATTAATTACATTTTGGTAAAAATTATTCAAATTATACAAAACTAAACCTGGTAGTTTCTCAAAGTGAAACTCGCTACACCTGGCGATCAGCACGTTCATTGTGTTGGCGTCGATTACCCTGATTTTATTTTGGCCCAATTTTAGTACTTTAAGCGCCGGCAATGAGTCGACTAAAGTGGTCGGAAAGCTTTCCAACAAATTCTGTCTCAAATCCAAATACCATAGTTTGGGCCAAACGGTGTGTTTTGTGGCCAAAAAGTCTAAACTAGTGATCAAATTCTGGGTAATTGTCAACCGTTTGAGCGAAACCATTGCGTCGAATGTGTGTCTCTCGATGTGTTGCAGAATATTCTTGCGAAATGTGACCGAAATTAGTTGCCCTACGGATAGGTCGCGGAATCGTTGGCCAACGGTTACCAAAACACCGTTTTCTATGTGTAGGGCTTTAAGGTTAACAAATTTGGCGAACATTTTCCACTCAAACTCTTCCCTTTGATTCAACGGTTGGGTGAGCTTTGAGTCCAGTATTGTTAGCACTTCCAGGTATTGGGCGTCGATGCCGTCGAATAGAGCACATCTGGCCACTCTACTCGGTTCCATCATTACCCAGTCAAATATGGCCGCTTTTAATACCATGTTTTTAATATACTGTCCGTTAAAGTATCGGTCTTTGAACGGCAAAAGTAGCGCAAAGTTCTCTAATATCACTGTATTTATAGTCAAGTCTCGCATTTTTCCCAATTGATATTCAATGGTCAGTGTTTTCACTTCACAGTTGACACTATACGAGGTTTCTTTCCCATTACCATCTAGTAATTATAAAATAATTACCATGGTAATTTGTGTTTAAATATTATTAAATATGTTTAAAGGTTTTAATATAAGCAATAGTTATTGTTATATAATCTTTTAATAAGTTTTTGTATACAGAACAATATTTAAACAATTCAGCTAAAAACTGTAAATTTTAAAAAATATAAATAAAATGCATGTTCACATTTGAATCATATAAAATTATGGTAAAAGTAATTACCGGTACATATAAATTAGTGGTGCTAATATTTTAAAGGCTTATAAATTATATTTTTAATGTTTGTATTAATATTTTTAAATCTCTCTCTCTCTCTCTCTCTCTCTCTCTCTCTCTCTAATTTTTAACAAAAAATAATACATTAAATGAATTATTTCATTATCATTGATAATAATATGGCAATTATTTATTGATTACATTATTAGTTGATTAAATATTACGTGTGGTTTATAAGTGGCATAAAATCTAATTACATTGTAATAAATGGTAGGCATTATTAAAAAGTTTATTAATTATACTGTACTTTATATTCACTAATCGCATAGAAATATTACAAGTTGTATCAACTATAACCATATTAACCATGATTAAAATTAATCCCTAGTTTTAAAACAAATAATACATCACTACATCAATTTAACATGTAATTTTACAAATGATTTAAAGATTCGAATGAAAATTTATCATTAATTAAAAAATTGATAAAATTTAATCAAAATTTATTACTTAAAAGTTTTAATTAAAGTTAGTCCGGTTTTAAACAATTTGATGAATAACTTTAAGTATTTAATGTCAATAAATTAATAATTTGCTGATTCGTAGAAATTAAATAATAAAATAAGTCCAAAACACTTGTAAATTAAAGTCCAAATCGCGATAAAAGAGATAATAAATTATTGATAACATTGTATATAATATTTACAATTATTAATCTCAATATAGAGCCCATCATAAATTGTAACTCTTATTGTTCTAACTCTAATATATAAAAATAGTAAACAAGGAGATTATAATGAATTATTAGACACTAAATTTAATTTACAATTAATTTAATTAATAAGAAATAAAGGTATAAACAATTTTGTTCTCAAATTTTGATTTTATTTAAAACACTAAACATTTAATCAATTTTTACGGCAATAAAACTTTGAAACCTCATTGATTTCGATTTCAATAGTCTTAAGCTTAAGACCGTTGGCCAACACATTGTCGACCGCACTATCTTTCGGGTATCTATTGATGTTATTATCTGAGACCAAAACCGTTTGCAGCGCCGGTAGTCTTGAAAAGAGTTTCAAATACTTGACAACATCTTTGTCGTCGATTTCTCCCATCCAAACGGCCAGGTCTTGAAGCCGTGGCCAATGTTTGTGACAATTGGTCCACAGTTTGTCGCGCAATGAGCTGTAAACGAGTTCTAAATGTGTTAATCGGTGGCAATGTTTCAACGGATCCAACAGTCGCTCATTACTGGATTCTAAGTATTGGAAACGCAAACGTTTTAATCCCGAAAAACATCGCAACGCATCCAATGTCTGGCCATTGGTTTTGTCACGCAATGGCGCAACGATTGCGAGCGACAATTGTTTCAATTGTTTGCAGTTTAGGCCAATGGTACGCAACCAGTCGTTCAATGTCTGCGAAGTCAATGGGTATTCACATATCAAAGTGAAGTCCAGTCGACGTAATTGCGACAAACGTGACAATTGATCCCCCAATCCATTAACCATACGATTGTCAT